TAACAAATGGAAATCCAAACTTATTTGTTAATTCAGTCTATAAAAGCCAGTATATATAATAAGTCAGGCTCTGTGTTAGATGGTTGTGACAAATGATTAAGTAATAACTCCTGTGCTATCTCACTTACAATACAGACAAAGAAATTTTAAAAATAAGCTTCAAGGGTTTACAGGTATCCAAAAGAGTATACTTAAGAAAGAATGATTAATTCTATAAGTTGAGAATTTCAGGGGGAAAAAGTTAAGAAAAACATGTTAGAATTTTACAAAGAGTTAAAAGGAATTAAACATGAGAAGAATATGTCTGGCAGCTATGAAAAAGAACACGTTAAACCTCAGAAAAAAACAGTTGGGGGTTCTTTGAAGAGTAGGGTAGACAGAACAAGGACAAGAAGTCAATGTGATAAAACTGGACTGGGCACAAATCAGAATGTCTTGCATAGTGTAGCAAAGAATTAGACCTTCAATTGGCCAGACTTGAAATTAACAAGTCCATATTCAAGGTGTCCAGGAGGGAAACTGTTGGCTCATAGGGCAAATGTATATGAGAATCTACAACAAACTGTTAAGCTTCAAATATGGTTGTATTATTTTTACCTCAACCAGTGCCATAAGTTGCTTGTTATGGCTGTTGCAAAGTTTTAAATTTTATTCATTTAGTGGTACTTCATTGTGGTCCCTGACAGGGACTAGAGATACTGTGTATCTTTAAAAATGCCTAGTGGCATATTTATATTTTATAAAGTTTTTTTGTTCAAGATTTGTGCCCAATTTTATAAGTTTTGTATTTTCTTTTTTTATTATAGAGTTGGGATGGTCTTCATAGAGTCCTAACACAATTCCTTTGCTGTATACATATACTATGAATAAGCATAGAAGACTGTTTCTAATGAATGGATATAAACATTAATAAAAAGATACAAGTAGACATTATGTACGCCTATAGTCTTACCAATCCTTTTCTACATTCTTGACAAAAAGATCAAACATGATTATCTTGCTTCTTGATCAATCTATGTTGTGACACTACTGGTAGAAAGATAAAGGATGAAGGAACATGTTGAACTGCCCCAAGAACATAAGATCAAGAAAATCCGAACTCTGGCAAACTCTGTAGCTCACATAAATAAATTTGTAAGGAAATGAAAGGTATGATAGGGAACCTATCAATTGAAAGACACTTAAAATACGTATTAAGTTTTTACAAAATGAGAAAGCCTAAATTTTAACATATAATTGTGCGAGGAAACTATTTAAAATGTGAAGAAATGACGACTACTACACAAAGTTCAAAGCTTACAACTATAACCCAGCTACTGAAGAGGCAGGAGTGGATCAGTCTGAAGCCATCCCAGGCAAAAGTAAGACTGTCAAAAACAAAGTAAAACATAAAAGGATGGTGTCCTTGGCAAAGCATTTGCTCAGCTAATGCAACATTTTGAGTTCCATCCTTAGTATACCCCTGACCTGTAAGAAGTTCAGAATTGCTTTTGTTGGAAAGCAGGATATTGTGACTGGGATGGAATTTATGGCTCTGGAATACCTGGCAAAATTCTATTTCTTGACCTGGCTGAAAATTCAATTCTTTCTTGTGTGTGTGTCTTTTAAAAAATGTTTGTTTTATATTAGTTTTTTTTCTTACTGTGATGTATCTAGAATCTAGGATTGAAGAGTTTAAGAGTGATAGGAGTAGAATGATATTTTGTGATAGAGAAAACTAAAGTGTGGCTATAGAAATGGCTGCTCACTTGAGGTAGGGAGAGTACAGTGGATGAGGAACTGAGCATCTGGGACTTGGGAAGGCACTGCAGGGAGAAGACTATAAGCCAGGTCCTAATCTCCAACATCAGAGTAACAGAGTAGCCTAGATGTTGGGATTAACAGGAAGCTAGGCACAGGTGACTCATACCTGTAATACTAGCTACTCAGGAGGTTGAGATTTGAGGATTGAGGTTTGAAGCCAGCCTGGGCAGGAAAGTCTGTGAGGCTCTTATCTCCAATGAACCAACAGAAAAATCTGGACGTGGCTCTGTGGCTCAATGTGGCAGAGTGCAGCTTTGAGTGAAAGGGCTCAAGGACAGCTTCCAGGCCCAGAGTTCAAGCCCCAAGACTGAACACCCCTCCCCCGACCCCCACCTCCAACCTGAAAAATAAATGATGACCAGATACAGAGAGATATACTTAGAATCCCAAGGTCTCCCATTCCCTTTATGTCACAAAGTGTTAGGCATTTTGAAAGTGGCTAAGAAAAGCATGGAATAGTTGAGCCCACTTTCTTTCTGTGGTACATGGGAAACTGAGCACAACTTAAACTATTTTCAGGCACACATAGGCTTCACTTGAGGTTTTATAGCACAGAAAGTTTCTGTGAAAATATTGATGGTGAATGCTAGTTAGCAAAGAAATAGATTCCTGAAACAGTAAAGGGAAGGAAAGAAAAGTGGGGCATGTGTATATAATAGGAAGAGTAGAGAGGAAGGTAAAGAATTTTGTAAAACCCATGTGGAAAAGCTTCTTTTGAATAATCAAAAATAATAATAAAGCCTGCAACCCAAGATATTACAGAGGTAAAGGAAGAGGCAAAAGTCAGACAAAAGCGAGACTGTATCTCAAAAACAATATATAATATAAAGGGCTGAGGTATGGCTAGGTACTAGAGCACTTGTCTACCATTGGTGAGGCCCAGGTTTAATCCCAGCAGCATGCAAAGATATACACACACACACACACACACACACACACACACACACATCCCAGCAGCATGCAAAGATACACACACACACACACACACACACACACACACACACACATCCCAGCAGCATGCAAAGATACACACACACACACACACACACACACACACACACACACACACACACACAGAGTACTAGAGCATTTGTCTACCATTCGTGAGGACCAGGTTTAATCCCAGCAGCATGCAAAGACACACAGACACACAGAGACACAGACACAGACACAGGCACACAGTCACACAGTCACACACACACACACACAGTTACACAGAGTTACGGATGGAAGAACCTGGCTCCTGAGGTGCTAGAAACTTACAGGTATGGTACCCAAGACATGATTACTGCAATCATTTTCATATCATCAGCCTGAGTATCAATAATTCCATGAAGAATGTTTTGCAAGTCCTGGGATAGGGAAAGTACTTTTCCCTGTGAGAACAACATCTTTTATTATGGCCTGAGGAAAAAGAATCAGGCTCCTCTATTTCATTTCTATAAACTCCAGGGGATACTTCTGAATCTTGGTGCAATTAACATTTTCCAAAACACTTTTATTCCAAAGTTTATTGGTGGTGAAGAGGGGCTCAAGCCAAAGAAGCCAAGGAAGAACCAATATAGAAAGCTAGAAATGGCCCAAGAGGTGTACATTCAGATTTTGGCCAAATGGGCTGATCGGGAGGAATAGAAGCAAGAAGAAATAGGTGTGACAATTGATGAATCCTATTCTGAACAAGTGGGGGGCTGAATTCTAGTGCCATTTATCTTGTCATCAGGGTTTGCAATAGTCAGGGAATAGGGGACATCCCAGATCATAAAAACAAGGAGTATCTCCAGGTAGAAAGTACACAGGTCAGTATAATAATGAAGTTGGGAGACTCACAGTTATGAAATACACTTATTTCTTACACACATATATAACTCACATATAACTCATATAGCACATATAACTTTTTAAGAAGTTGTTTTCAAATTAAAAGCATGAAGTAATCGTGTTTATGCAACAAATATACAATAGTATTTTATGCTTCTTTGAAACAGTAAATTTTTAAGTTTTAAATAAAAATTCAACTCAACTATTATCTAGTGTTGTGTCATTTGCTAATTACAATATTTAAAAGTTCCTTTGGCTACTTGATATGGTTAAATATATAATAATTAGGTAAGACCAGGAGATTCAGTGTTTCTCAACTTTCCAACCAGAGCATGTGTATCAGAAGAGAAAATGCTGGAGACAGGGAAAATCACCTGACATAAGCTGCTGTAAGTCTAAGCTTTCTAGAGTCCCATTCCCTTCCCCATCCTGTGGTTGTAGGAATTGACCCAGGGGTTTTACATGCTAACTAAGTGCCCTAGAAGCTAATATAGTAGCCTAGCTCTTTGGGCAAGCACTCTACCACTAAGCCACATCCTCAGTGCCTTGTGCAGCCCTTTAAAACAAAATCTGAAGCCTGGTGCTGGTGGTTCACACCTCCTAGCTTCTCAGAAGTCTGAGATCTGAGGATAAAGCCAGCCTAGGAAGAAAAGTCCATGATACTGCTACCTCCAATTAACCAGTAAAGGTCAGAAGTGGAGGTATGGTTTGAGTGGTAGAGTTCCAACCTTGAGCAAAAAAGCTAAGTGACAGCACCAGGCCCTGAGTTCACCAGGCCAAGTACTAGAATAAAATAAACAAATAAACAAGCAAAGCTGCCTTGGCTAGGTCCAAACTCATGATCCCCCTGCTTAGGTTTCCTGAGTAGTTAAAAATTCAGGATGTGCTACCATGCATGTTTTTATTTTTAAGTTTTTATTACATCATTCTAAAATTTACAAGAGCTGGGCACCGGTGGCTCATGCCTGTAATCCTAGCTAATCAGGAGGCTGAGATCTGAGGATCATGGTTCAAAGCCAGCCTCACCAGGAAAGTCCATAAGACTCTTACTTGGAGAACTTTAACCATCTGAAAACCGGAAGTGGTGCTGTGGCTCAAGTAGTAGATCTTGAGCTGAAGATATCAGAGACAATGCCCAGACAGAGAGTTCAAACATCATGACCAACAACAAAAAATGTATAACATTATAGTATATTTATACACTGCTTTATTATAAAATATTTAAAATTATTTCTTGTGGAGTGAGTTTAATACTTTGGGAAGAAGTGTCATAATTTGTTTGCTGAGGCTTCGTGTGTCCTTACAAGCTCAAACTCTCAGTTGAGAACTAGAGAATTATAAACACATGGTGTTTGCATATTTCCAATGTATAGTCTTACCTCCATAGTAGGTGGAGTCTTCCTTGTCTTTCTAATCCAAGCTAGAAAGAAAAACAGTACTTAAATTCCAGTTCTCTGTAATGTATATGAACATTTTATTTATTCATGCTAAAAGATAACTTTTTGAGCATCTATACTGTTTGAAGTATTGGAGATATAATAGAAAAGCACACAGATGAAGCCCCTCTGCTACAATAGCAAACATATTCATGAAGGGAATTCTGAAAATAAACACAAACAAGATGGCAAGTGGTAACTGTATCATGAAAAAATTTAAGACTGTAGGGAAGATACAGAAAGGACAGTTTCATAGTTTAGAAAATCATGGCTCAGAATCATCTGAATTCAATTTAGCATATTTATGACATACAGGTCAAATCCAAACATAGTGTACTTCAAAGCAATGTCATAATTATTTTATTTTGGAAATCTGAATTACTAATTGTTCAATTTATCAAGGAATGGACTTATTAGAGAGATTTTTCTTAGGATCTGTTCCAGCAAGAGTTACCTCCTCTGGCTGGGAAGAATCATCAGGCCTTACCTCTCATACTTAGGACACAAGCTGCAAGGAGCAGAGTAGCTCCTGTTGAGTCAGTACTATGCCCTCAACTAGAGGTTATATAACAAAGGGAAGGCAGCTCTCCAGGGAAGTTATCAAGTGGTTCTAGTGTCAAGTATGAGCCTAGCTGGTTCATATTTTAACTCTATTACTAGCTATGTGGAAAGTTATATAATTTTCTAAGCATGTGAAAAACATAAATTATAATGCTATCTGTACTGTGAGGTGGTTGTGAAAGAAAAGTCCACTTACCAGTCTGACTTTTTTTTTTCAGTCTGACTTTTATAATCAAGAATTAACACCAGGATTTTTTTTTTTTTTTTTAATGAAAAACCCAGATCTGAATGGCTACACATGTGGAAACAAAAGATTCAACCATGGGCCTAAGATTATTTATTTCCCTTCCTTTCTCTCTTTTCTTGCACAGACCCAAATATATCTCTCCAATGTATTTCCAACTGTGTCTGAATTTCTACCTTTATTATTCTTCCTGTGTTCCCTTTCTCATTACTTTTCACTCTTTTTTGGCCCAATGCTACTCAAAACTTGAACAGATGTCATATAACGTCCTTTGTTAGGCTGTAAGGTTGGCAAGGCAGGAAGCACCAACAGGTTTTTTTTTTTTTTCTACTGCCAACTGTCTTGAAAGAGTAAGTTACTTAATATGTATGGAATAGGACAACTATAAAAATACTCTTGTATTAGGATTTTGACTTGTATCGTTCCTCCTGAAATTAGCCTCCTGAGTAGCTAGATATACAGGTATGAACCTCCAGTAACCAAGTTGTGTTCATATTTTGAAATGGCTGCAAAAAGACCCCATTTTTTGTGTGTGCCAGTACTAAAGCTTGAACTTAGGATTTGGCTTTTCAATCAAAGCTGATACTTTACCACTCAAGCCATACCTCCAGTTTTGGCTTTTTGTTGGTTAAATGGAGATAAGAATCTCAAGGATTTGTCTACCTGGGCTAGCCTCAAACTTCAAACCGCAGACCTCAGCCTCCTGAGGAGCTAGGGAGGAGCTACTGCCACCCAGCTATATCCCCCCCCCCCCAAAAGAACAGTATTTCATAACACAAAAAAAATATATGGAATTCAGATTTTCAGTGTCTATAAATAAGATTTTATTGACCCCTAGCCACTTATTTCTATCTATAGCTACTATGTGCATGTCAAGAGTTGAGTAATTGTAATAGACCAAGTGATCCACAACCTAAAATACTTACAATCTGATACTTTAGAGAAAAACTCCAACCCCTGTGGCTTAAGTATAACCCATTTAACAACAATTATATATCATGATACAAAAACACTTTTATATTTTCTAATATAAGTATCATTCTTAGTTATTATATTCTTAAATTGTTATCATATATTTTAGAGACTAGAAACACATACAAATAATATCAGGCTGAGAAAGTATAATAATGTAAAGCACACTTTCTAGTATCATAACAAAAACAAAATAACAACTACTATTACAATGAATCTACAAAATAGCATTTTCAGTTTTTTTGTAAGGCTGGAAAAAGATACTTCAATTGAATTCAAATTGTTTTTTAAAGATTCTATGACATAAGAGAGATTGGGAAGATTAGTATATGTTTTCTAAAATTTATTGGTTTATAATATTCATTCATAAATGTGGGAATGTAATAAATCTAAATATTGAACGTATTAAAACCTACTTATTCACAGTCCAGATATTATGAAAATATACAAAGACTTTCTTTGCCTTCATTTTATTAATCATTTAACAATTTTTATTTTATATGGATATAAAAATTCAACTGACTATTGAAAAATTAAACAATACAAATATAAAAGTTTGTATATTTATGATTCTACAATAACTAGGCACTTGAATGTCTTGAGACATTCAAACTACTGTTTGTTCTGAGTCCAGTAAAGGTTAGAGCAAAAAGTGTTCAATATGATCACTCATTTATATAATCCGATACAAACTTTTACAAGTGGTTATTATAAAGCAATGGGAAATGTCCTATTGAAAGTAGGCAAAGGTCAGTAAGACGAAGGAATAGAAAAGACATTAGTATTAAATCATTACTTCTTTTAGATTTGTTTTGTTTGTACTGGTTCTGGGGCTTGAACTCAGGGTCTCATGCACTCACTTGGCTTTTTCACTCAACATTGTTTATCATACCTCCACTTCCATCATTGGTTAATTGGAGATAAAAGTCTCAAATCTCTCTGCATACTCTTGCTTCTGAATAAAATCCTCAGATCTCAGACTCCAGAATCTAGAATCTAGCTAGGATTACAGGCTTGACCCACCAGTGGCCAGCTAAAATAACTATTTTTTTTTTTATCTTTTTTTTTTTTTTTAAATTTTATTTTATTTTATTTGAGAACATACTGTACAGAGGGGTTACAATTACATGGGCAGGATAATGCATACATTTCTTACCAAGCATTGCATCCTCCTCCTTTGTTTACCCTTCACCTCCCTTCCCAGCCTCCCCCCTCCCTCCCACCCAATCATACCCCCCCCCCCCCCCACCGACATTGTAAAGCTGGTTTTGACATGACATTTTGTACTTCTCATTGTTGCAACAGGTCCACCTGAATCCTTAAACGACTTGTTTGTCCCCGTCTCCTCCACATGTTATACTGACATCAAATATAGTGAAAGCAGGGGTTACACTGTGGGGGAGGGACAAAATAACTACTTTTTAAACCTTCAGACATCTGAAACAGAAGCTCTGTCCAGTTATAAATTATATAACTATTTTGCTATTGTTTCTTATATCTGTAAGGTAAAATTTGAATCAGTCCTCATTATAACCATTTAGCAAGGCAACTAACTGGATAGTTTATAACTTGAGATCCTTAGTTTCATCAGTGCTTATTTACATTCTCATCAGTATGTATAACTTTCACTGAACTTTAGTACTCCTATTGGAACATAACAAACTATAATGAATATAAAAGTGAGCGTGCAAATTAAGGTTCCCATTAATCACAAAGAAAGACTAGAAGCAGACAGATAGGAAACACTTCCAGAAGCATACATTCTTCAGATCTCCATAGACAAAAAAAATGTCCAAAATACTTTTAGAAGTGCTGCTAACACTCTGTGGCAAATGAGATATCCTATGACCAGATTTAGTTAGGCAACTAGAATCAAAATTATGGAAAAGTTATCAACAGTCTACATCTAAAAGATATTATATTAAAATGTATCATTTAATTCACTTAAATAAACCTTTACCTTTTAGAAACTAATCCTTACTAGTTGAGTGTTGACATTTTATAAAAACTGATAAATATAAACATGCATTTTGAAATGTGAAAAATTCTTCCAAAGATACATTACAAAAAGAGTCATTTTTCTGATTATTGGACCTTTTAGTCATATTAAGTGAAAGCGTATTTAAAGTTACAAATTTTATGAAGTTCACAGTTGTTACTCTTCTTTATTCTTAAGTATTTTGAGATATAATTTAAATACAATACAGAAGATATTTTAATTGTATAATTTCACAAGTTCTCACAAATGTGTACACAGACTATTTCTATCACCCCTCATCCAAAGTCCTTTTGTGTTCAAAGACCCAACAATGACTGATAACACTTTCTGACTAAGACTGCCCACAAGTTCTGCTTTATCTGTAATTTCATATAAATAGAATCTTACAGTATGTACTCTTTTGCATCTGGCTTATATTTAGTCAGCAGGACTGAGTAAACTCATAGCATATGGTAGGGGCCACACCCACACTTCCCGGTATTTATTCCTTGGAGTAATGGCAGAACCATAAGTTACTGCTACCATGAAAATATGGCAAAGGTGAAAAGATGTATGTGATTAGATGACTACAATGCACAAGAATGCAGTACCTGTCTTGCTGAAGACATTTCTCCCTTGTTGGCAGAATTATGTGAGGTTTAACCATCACATATATCTATCTCTTGCAACACTTTATCAAACCTCACAATTTGGCATCCTGTTAACTCTCCAAACTTATATCCTGCTAGGTTCTCTCAGGCTCTATCTGGTCACTTTGGCTTCCCTGCTATTCCTTAACCACAGGAACACATTTCTGCCTCATGGCTCATCATGTGCTTTAGTAATGCTCCTGTGATGGTTATCTGCATGATATTCTTGCAGATATACATATACTAAAGCCTTTCAAACACTCTGTATATCCTTTCTCTGATATGGCCACTAGCATATTATATAGTTCAGTTACTTATCTCCTTTGTCTTTTTCCCACCTTAGAATGTGGGCTACATGACTGCAGATATCTTCAGTAGATGGTTGCTAAATAAATGAATGAAAAGGCACACTGTTGAATCCTCATTTTAGGAGAATATGAAACTTGTAGGTAATTGTATTCTGCTATTAATAATTGAAAAATGTAATATTACATTCTCTTGTATTAGAAAAAAATCTTTGGAATCATTTGGTGTTGACATTATTTATTTCATAATTTTTCCCTTTCCTCATATATAGTGTCATGTGTGTTTATGTTGTAATTTTTTTCTTTGTGGAGTAAAGTTCTTACTTTTTATATTTAATTGGTGTGTACCACTATAAAAGTAATTTTCATTTCAGTGTTTGGTTGATACAGTTATATTAAAACTAAGCCCCATGGGATAGTTATGCTGAATTATTAGATCAGGACAGAGTCATAAGAAGCATTAAAACTTCATTCTATTTCCCTGAAAGTCTGAAAGGCTGAAAAATGAGACATTACCTATTTATTTATAACTTAATTTATTTCTATAAACATTTTAATTCTATACTATTACTGGGAAAATGACAAAATAGGCTCATTATAAGAAGGCATAAGAATTGTAAATGTAGCTTATAACACTGGAAAGTCTCTTAAAATAAGAAGGCTCAATTATTCCTTCTAGAAGTTGCCAATTTATAGTGTGCATTTCTTAGGAAAAAATGCTGTTGTCTACACATATATATTTATACCCTCTTCCCACAGTTCTACTACTTTTATTACTAATAAGCAGAAATGGAAAAGATATTTTCATTGAAGTGGTTTTTACATTCACAGGGTGGCATAAATGTAACATAATACTTACAACTACATTTATCTATCATGCTATGCCCACCCACGAAGCAATATATCTGCCTGTATTGGGCTACAAAACCCAAGCAATTTCCCTAACCTTTCTGCTCTTTTAAATGGGTATGACTATAGTATATGGCTCGTCTTACAGGATTGTTGTGATGGTCAAACACAATAATGACGCCAATGTAATGGCATAATACCAAGCATTCAAGTAAATACCTAGTATAAGTGACACATATAATATGAATTGGTATTTCAGGAAAGATTCTTTTTAGCTGAAAATAACAAAAGGTAACTCAAGCTAGATTTTATATATTCAATAAATTATATGCCAGGCCCTATGCTAGGAACTAGTAAGCAGAAAAGGGAAATCTGTAACAACAAAAGGCACTACTTAGAACTCAGACATAAGCTTAACTACATTCATAAAAAAATTGAAGTAAGAAGTCGAAAGCTGCTGGAAACCTGAAAAATACTCTCTCCTTATATACTTCATATACTTACATATATTTTCCACCATACAGAATACTTTTCTTAAATAAAATGTTTTAATCCTGTGTATTGAAGACAGCTACTTACAAACTACAAAGTTCATATGCCAATGTTTCAGCCAGTTAGGGAGACTAGAAACTACTGTTTTATCGCCCTTGGATCTTTTATATTAATTTCGAGTCTTAAGATAGAGATCAACAGGAGGTAAGCTGAAAGGGTCGTTGTGAATTGAACAAATACCCCACAGGTCTCTAAAGAAAGTGTTTTGTTTATTTTTAACTTACAAAAGAGAAAAATAAGCTATGTTCCTTTCTCAAGTTTATGAGAATAGTGAGTGCCAGAAACAGGACTCCAAGGGTGGGGTACAGAATCAGTAACTGGGGGCCTCCTTAGGCTTTGTACCTAAGAAGCTTTCTTTGCTCACTTCATCTTAATCTCCACAAATTTCAGGGACATGATGTGTAATGTTTGGAAAAAGTTTGATGCTCAGGAGGCTGAGATCTGAGGACCATGGTTCAAAGCCAGCCCAGACATGAAAGTCCTTGAGATTCTTATCTCCAATTAATCGCCAGAAAAACAGAAGTGGCACTGTGGCTCAAAATGGTAGAGCACTAGCTTTGAGCAAAAGAGATCAGGGACAGCGCTCAAGCCCCTCCACTGAACCCCTACCCCCTAAAAAAGTTTGATGGATCCAAGTGATAAAGGGAAATAGGTCATTATATATGCTCTGATTAATTTTGCGTATTATTACATAATTTTCCAGAATATGCTATTATAAGCAAAAACTCACCTTCCCATTCTGTTGGGATGGTACCTACTTCATAGTCTACTTCATTTTTATTCGCTGCTTCTATAATCCTTTTCTCTCGTATAGTTTGTCCTGTAAGACAAGAGGGATTCATGTATTTTAAATAAACTTACCATATAGTAGTTTTTTTGTATGTTTTTTATTGTAAAAATACTGTACAGACAGGTTAGTTACATGAGCAAGGTAATGAGTACATTGTTGCCTCCTCCTTTACTACCCCTTCCCAACCACCTTGACAACCCCTACCTTCTCCAGGCCAAAGTTGTAAAGTTCATTTTCAACATAGTGTCTTGTACATCTCATTGTTACAATGGGTCAACCTGTATCCCTATTTAAGCATTGTTTTTTCCCCTTCCCCTCCCCGAATTAGAGAAGTGTATATACAAGATGAAGGGTACTGACATCAAATACAGTGAAAACAGAGGTTATACCTTGGGGTAGGAACATACAAACAAACAAACAAAAAAACTACATGGTAGATTATAAATACATTATAAACAATATCAAGAAAGAAAAAAATATTTGTGTCCCTATCTTGGCATTCTTAACATTATCTTATATGGTCATATGTAGCTTTTGACCTTTTCTACTTGTCCTACACATGTACTAGTTATTGCAAATAAGGGAAACCATGGGACCTATGTTTCTTTGGGCCTGGCTTACTTTACTTAATATAATTTTTTCCAGGTCTTTCCATTTCCTAAAAAATGGGGCGATATCATTCTTTCTGAGGGAGGCATGAAATTCCATTGTGTGTGTATGTATGTATGTACGTGTGTGTGTGTGTGTGTGTGTGTGTGTGTGTGTGTGTGTGTGTGTGTGTGTGTGTGTGTGTGTGTGTATATATACACATATACATACACCACATTTTTTTGATCCAGTCATCTACTGAGGGGCATCTGGGTTGGTTCCATATCTTAGCTATGGTAAATAATGCTGCAATAAACATAGATGTGCTGTTAGCCTTAGTATGGTCTTGTTTGTGAACATTTAGGTAAATGCCCCAAAGTGGGATTGCTGGGTCATAGGGAAGCTCTATGTGGAGTCTTTTGAGGAACCTCCATACTGCTTTCCAAAATGGTTGAACAAGTTTACACTCCCACCAACAAAGCAGTAGGGTTCCCTTTTGGCCACACCCGCTCCAGCATCTGTTAATATTAGAGTTCTTGATTATAGCCATTCTAACTGGGGTGAGGTGGGATCTCAATGTTGTCTTGATTTGCATTTCTTTTATGGCTGGAGAGGTTGAGCATTTCTTCATGTGTTTATTGGCCATTCTTATTTCCTCTTCAGAAAAGTTTCTCTGTAGGTCTTTGGCTCACATATTTATCGGGCAGTTGTTTCTTTGAGGATTTGTTGTTGGGGGATTCAATTTTTTGAGTTCCAGGTATATTTTAGATATGCGACCCTTGTCCATTGTATGGCTAGTGAAGATCTTCTCCCAATCCGTGGGCTTTCTATTGATCTTGCTAGCTATGACCTTTGCCATGCAGAAGCTTTGCAGTTTCATGCAATCCCATTTGTCCAACCTTTCTTTGATTTGTTGTGTTTCTGGGTCTTTATTAAGAAAATTTCGGCCTGTGCCAAGGAGACTTAGGGTTTCTCCTATTCCTTCCTGCAATGTTTTCAAGGTGACTGTTTTGACTCCGAGGTTTTTGATCCATTTGGAGTTGATTATGTAGGAGAAAGGAAAGTTCCAAAGGAAGCCTGAGAAGTCTGAAGGGCTGGTTTGTTTTTTTCTGTCTCAGTGAGACTAAGTAAAAGGCTGGGAGTTCATAGACAAGCTATTAAGGGCCAATAACCCTAAAGTATGTAGCCAGAGAGGCCCTGCATTTCATTACAAATTCACTTAATCTAATTCAATCCTAGCACAGAGGTTCCTCAAGTTTTAACAAAGGAGATTTATTTTTCCTTATTTTACCAGTAAACTTTTTAACTTACAGCACGTCAGGGGACTGGTAGTAAAAGGTCCCTAAACTGTAGACAAGGGTTAGTGTAAAAGGTGCCTTTTACCTGAATTTACCCTACCCTACTTTGCTCTCAGAGCAGAGCTCAATATATATACATGCATTTAGTTCATCTAAAGTATGATAACATATCAATTTTCAAAATGTTTGAGTCAAAACACGTGAATCTTCTTATACTGCTCATTTAATACCATGATTAGTACGTCCTACTAATGATGGTGAAAACCATCATCTAAAATACAAAATGGTAAGACAAGGGACTCTGAAAGAATATTTGTGCTGTGGAGCTACACTGAAGCTTCTTCTCAATGAAGGTTAAGAATATGAGGAGGATGGAGAATTCTGCACTTTCCAGGAGCACTACTAAAATATATATATATATATATATATATATATATATATACATATATGTATATATATATGCATTCTTGTGACATGAAGATTACCTTTTATTATTTATATGTCTAATAGTGCCATGTAAGGTCTAGAAAGAATTTTAAAAATCAGTCAAGACCTATTTCTGTGTAAATAGAAAGACAAAAGCAATTCATGAGCTAGTTTAACTCCTTGAGAAATATTAAATAAAATACTGTTTACAAATAGATGAGACTGAAGATGTACTTTAAAAATATCCATCTTACTCAGCACTAATGGTTCACATCTATAATCTTAGCTACCCAGGAAGCTGATATCTGACGGATTATTGTTTGAAGCCAGGCCAGATAGAAAAATCCTTGAGACTCCATCTCAAAATAACCAGCAAATAGCAGGGCTGGAGGCAAGGCTTAAGTGTAGAGTGCCAGCTGTAAGAAAGCCAGTTGAGCAAGAAGCCCTAAGTTCAAGTGCTAGTACTAGCAAAAAGCACACATAGTTAGAAGTATAACACTACTGGCTTATTAAACAAATTCTTTATAATCAGATAGGGTTTTTCCCCTCTTAAAACTACTGCATTCTTGGGAGCCTAATACAGGATGTTATGAATTTTTATGAAATGGAAATGAAATTTATGTTCCCCATTTAGTAAGAAATTATGCATAAACCACATATTTACTTATTCTACTGTGCTTTCATGCAATATTTGTAAAGACAACCCTACTTATCATAGCTAAAAATTTCCCTTCTAGTGAATAAAGTAAATTTAAATATGTACTCATGTTGAATTGTAGAATCTAATTTACATAGAAATTAAGTTAATAACAAAACATTTAATATATGTAAACCTAATTACTCCTAAAGTAACAATAATTTGACATTGGTGAGCTCAATGAGCACTATGTAAACTTATACACAGCTGTTTTTCTTAAGAGTAAAAAATTTAAATATAGTTGAAACAGTCAAAACAAAAGTTTGATTCAAAAAGATTGGAAGTGTCAATGGTATGTGGACTTAAACATTAAAGAAATAACAGTATTTCAAACATAAAAAAATAAAGCTAATTGCCATTAAGCCAATTGCCCTAAGAAAATGTCAGATTTCATATTCATTTATTTAGAAAGTTGATGAGTCCATAGAGGAAGGAATGGGGAGGGAAGGAAGGAAGGCGGGACAGGCAGGCAGGGCAGGCAGGCAGGCAGGTAGGAAGCTATATGGGAGGCTGAGATTAAGCTAATCACAGTTCTAGTCTGACCTGGGCAAAAAGTGTTTGAGGCTCTATCTTCATGGAGAAAAGCTGGACTTAGGGATGGGAACTTGTGACCCCAGTTACAACAGGAAGCCTAAAGTAGGCAAATCATACAGCTCAAGCATATGCCAGATGGAAACAGAGACCCTATCCTAAAAAACAACAAACAAACAAGCAAAAACCAAGGCTGATGGTGTAGATCAGTGGTAGAGTACCATCTTAGTAAATTCAAGGCCATGAGTTTAAACCCAGTAGATCACAGAAATTAAAAATTGTTAAAAAAACAAACAAATCCTAAACCTCATTTAAGTACAATCTTTACAATTTTGTACTATGCCTTTTAGGAGCACATCCTTAATGTTTTTTTTTTCAAGTTCACTTGTTTGTTTCTTCATCATTTTTACCTTGTCCTAAGATACACATGTATACTTACGTATTTTTTGTCCATACAACATTAAACGATATACAGAAGTTAAAATTTTTGAGTTGTTTTGTATAACCTAGAGTCACTTCATAGATCTTATGTGGGAAACCATACTACCGCACACACTGGCCTATACAGCAGGCCCAGCAACACTCAATTTTATAAGACATAGAAACCAATATAACCAATAAGAAATTCCTGTGGACAGGGATTTGATATTAAAGGCTTGCCTGGATTGTGTTTACCCTTAATTTCACAACACTCTATTATGCACAATAATATTTTAAGGCTGAGGAAGGGAGAATCCTAAAATTCCAAGGGTTACTTAATTTAAAAAAAATAAAAGCTAAAATTTCTAGTATGTTTACCATGTTCCAGGCATTGAACTGACTTCTCACTCCATAAATAATTTCCCTTAAATTTTATAGCTTCACAAGACACATATTACTTCATTGTATAAATAAAGAGAATAAGGCTTCTGAGAACTTGTTTAACTTCAGGTAGCTCATTTAAATGTAGGTCGTTTGACTCAAGTACCTGACATTTAACCACTAACCTATGCTTCCAGACTTCCTACAAATGTTCATGAATAAACCTATCATCTCAGTAAAATACAAGGACTAAACTAAAGGCAACATAATTGCTATTTCTAATAAGATTAAAAGAAACTGCTTCTATACTTTCTTTCTTTCTTTTCTGTCAGTCATGGGGCTTGAACTCTGGGCCTGGGCTCTGTCCCTCAGCTCTTCAGCACAAGGCTAGTGCTCTACAACTTGAGCCACAGCACTACTTCCAATTTTCTGGTGGTTAATTGGAGATAAGAGTCTCAAAGACTTTTCTGCTCAGGCTGGCTTTGAACTGCGATCCTCAGATCTCAGCCTCCTGAGGATTACGGGTGTGAACACCAGTGCCCAGCAAAAGAAACTGTTTCTATGAACAAAAATTGACTAACTTCCTGAATAAGGAAATGCATCATATTTAATTTAACATTCCTCCTACTCACTCAACATCACTGAAGAAAATACTCAAAAGTGTAAGAAATAAGAATCATCCTTTGTCC